TTTCATCGAAATATTCTAGATCTACATCGAAATACTATAGAGACACTGTCTTTAAAGCAGTAACTGAGGTTTGTTAGGCTAGCTAACTTAACTGAAATATCATTACAACATTATCGCTGAATTATCATCTAACACGATCCCTTAATTCAGTAATTGATTTAATATCCAGGCTTTCTCTTAATTCTTCAAAGATTATTTAAAGATTTCGTCATAATGTCCACCAGATGCTCGTTCGTGTCACAGTGCTTAAATCTTAATTTCTTTTTCCTTACTTTATCTCTTGATGAAATAAATACTCAATCCAAAATGTTTACTTCTCCTATTAAAAATTGGATTTTCGTTAAATTTATGACTGATTTATTGTCAATCTTCAGTATCATAATTTTCTCCAATCTTTCAATGATTCGATTCACTAAACTACAAACTTGAGCACCATAAAATAAGAGATTTTCCCAATAGAAATACATAACTTAATGTACTTCTGAAACAAAATTTATCTCCATCATAGTAAGAATCAAAATATTCAACCAACTCTTTTCCATTATAATGTGTAACATTTAATAGTAGAATACTAAAATCAATCGTCTCTTTAATATACCACATAAATCTATAAGTTGGTGCAATATGTGATGCTTTAGGTTTCTCTATAAATCTACTTAGCAACCCAACACCACAGCAAATATCCGGTCTACTACAACGCAAATATCTTAAGCAACAAACTATCTATCTATCAACAATATCATTTACAGGATTCCTATCTCCATCCATGTTAAGCTTCAAATTTTCCTTAACATCTTCTTCTTCATCTTCTTCATAATCTTCTTCATCATCTTCTTCATCTTCTTCTTCATCACCATCTTCTTCATCTTCTTCTTCACCATCATCTTCATCTTCTTCTTCATCTTCATCTTCTTCATCATCATCTTCTACTTCATCTTCTTCTTCTTCTTTTTCTTCATCATCTTCTTCTTCATCTTCTTCATTCTTCTTCTTCATCATCTTCTTCTTCATCTTCTTCATCACCATCTTCTTCATCTTCTTCTTCTTCTTCTTCATCTTCTTCTTCTTCTTCTTAGAGGAACCATCCAAATCTCAATTGGGGAAATCAAGCTAATGTTATGCAATCACAACCACCTATGCAGCAACAAAATATGCATATGCTGTAGTCTAATTATTTTCCTTTCACAACCTATTTATCCACCTCCATCCCAACCTCCATATTTTCCAACACAAAACATGCATCCACCAAATCCACCAGTCCATCAACCATATAAACAATAAAATCAAAATAATATGCAGCAGTTTGAACAAGCTCCACATACTCAAACCTCTAGCCGTGAAAGTCAATCATATTTGGAGGAATTGATGAGACAATTAACCATGAACAATCTACAATTTCACCAGAGGATTGAGGCAATTATAAATCATTGGACAATCAAGTTGGATAACTTGCCACAACCATGAATCAACAATAGTCAAGTTTTGTAGATGGTTTGCCTTTCCAAATTGTTGTAAATCCAAAAGATGTGAGTGTTTTGACTCTTAGGACAGGAAATGTGCTTGTTGGACCTGTTAATTATGAAGCCTCACAAGAAAAATAAAAGGAGGAAGTTGTTGGTCATGCTAGTGCCAAAACAAAAAAAAACTGCAGAACAATTTTGAAGCAGAAAATGAAACACAAGGTTCCAAAAATGCAGTTGAAGTATACACCAGTACTGATGCTGGTTTAGTGGCTAGAAATAGTCCCAATGATGCTGAGAATGAAGAAGCAAATGCTGAAATTCGTGCTAAGAAACAAATGCTGAAATTCGTGCTAAGAAACAAATGAAGAAAATAACATACCAAAGAAGCAACAATTTTACCGTCTCCAATGCAGCAAAAACAGTTATTGTAGTCTCAACCAGTACTGATGTTGTACTGGTTGGGACAGACTGAATTATTATAATATCTGACTAAAACAATTATTACAATATTATTGTTAAATTATTATTTAAGACGTTCCATAGATATGAATGTTTAGAAATAGTTGTCACTGATTAAGAATTAGGTTAAGCCTTTGTTTCTTTAAAGACAAACATAAAATATTGAAAAAAAGAGGAAGGTGGAGTTATATATCTTTCCTTGTTTGTTTTCATAAACAGTGAATATGGAGGAGAATGATGCCCTTGAGTGAATGTTTCTCTTATCTTGCTTCTTCTCTGCACCTGTTATGTAACATGTACTTCATCAGTGTCTGAAAAACTAAAAACTCTCCAATTTCAACTATCACAAACAAGGCCAAAAAGGAAACAAGACTTTCAAAATAAAAATACGTTATTTAAAAGTAAAATTGTATTTTTATTAATTTAAACTTTTTTTTTCAATCTCATCAAACAGCTAAAAATAAATATTTCACCTTCCTCTCTTTTCTAATTTTATTCATCCATTCAAACAACACAAATTATCACTTCAATTTCACTATTATTTCATCATTTCTATTGTTATTCTCTCTATTCGTTTTCTCTTTGTTTACCCGTCTTCCAAACAGATTTAAGAAAAAATTAGGTTTAGTAGAACATCAAGATTGTAGAGCTGATGATGATACCAAAATATGTCTTCTCCTTCACCATTTAAGGAGGTTAGAAGCAAAAGAGGTGGGGTTTTGTTATGCCCTTCATGGGAAATAGATAAGCAGGAAATAGTCAACAACTTTAGTAAGCGTTTTATAGACCCAAAAGTTTTAGAGTAATTGAATTTAGTACAACGTTCAAGTTTGTTGTAATGATTGGATGAATTAAATAATCAATATCTCCTAAAAAATCAATAAAAGGTTTATATACATTAGTATGTTAGAAAAAAAAACTACATAAAAATGAGTAATACAGAAATATAAGTAATAAGAAAATATTATTTTTATTCAATAAAAAATAAAAGAGAAAGAAAGATATCATTTTATTATGTTTAACTTTATACCTAAAAAGAAAATTGTAGAAACTGTTATTTTTTTAAATTCACTTTCTCTCTTCTTTTTCTAAATAAATGTATAAATAATTTTATAATTTTACAATTACTTAATTTTAATTAATTATTTTTTAAAATCACAGCTATGTTACATTCTCCTAGAATAATATATGAAGATAAAAAGTGTTTAGTTTTTAACTTAAGACATCACTACTACAAAACTATTTTTTTTCTGCCAATTTTCTGGCAAAAAATTGTTTAAATTTACAGAAAACTTATTTCTTGTAATTTTTACAAAAAATTTGCAAAAATATTCCCATGAAAAATGAGAATTTTTAGTAGTGCATCACCAATACATGTAACTAATTAATGACGTGAGTTGCTTAAGCTTAAACAATATTTTAACTAATTTTTTTTTATTGAAACTAATAGCTCAGAGTTAATTGTTTATATGATCAACATTATAATTATCCTGTTTCATACTATAATAGAAATGTATTATTCAGTCTCAATTTAATCAAATTAACTTAATATTATAAATCACTCAGTCTAAATATTTGAACACTGAAAGTGAATTTTATGTAAAACTCTTAGATTTATTTGGCATGAATCATAAATTTGAGATAAATTACTTTATTGTATAAAGTATGTTCTGGGTGTGGTTTAGCTTAAAAGGTTTACTCTAAAACTAGCTAGTCCATTTTATATTAATATAATTTTAAATATTTCCATTGAATAACCACATTTCAATTCATGTTAATTGCATTTTTTTTATAAATAAGATTCTAATTTTTAAAATGCAAAAATTTAAAGCCAAAAAAATAGATACATAGAGGTGGGTAAATTGGAAGCATTGACCACTTTTTGTTTTTGTTTTTATTTGATCGTGTTTACCAAGTAAAGTGAAGAAATAGATGACATTAATAAGGTTTATTAGAAATTTGCTAGCGTTGGTAGAATTTTAATAGCCTCAGAAGTGGGAAAAGAAGAAGGTACCAACAATTTATTAAGTGGGGTAACAAACGATGTTGCACCGTAGACTTAGCTCAAATATTCATTCCTTCTTAGAATTAATATTAAAAGTAAACGCTATTATTATAAAAAATAAAACATCATCACCAAACATTATTATAAAAATCTACTATATATTTAAATTTGCTCTAAATATGTTTTAAATTTTGTCAAATGATTTGATTGTTCTTTCTTTCTTTCTTTCTTTCTCTCTCTCTCTCTCTCTCTCTCTCTCTCTATATATATATATATATATATATTAATATTCATCTTTATAAAATTTAAATTATTTTTTATTTTTTATAAAATTATGAATTTTATTCTTAATCCATATTCTTTATTTGTTATGTTCTAAGTTTTTATTTTCTAATATTTATTTTATGATAAATACACAACATATATATATTTAACATAAATGAGAGGTAAATCTTAAATTTATTATTAAGAGTGTTACTTAATAATACTATAATATGATAATGAAGGTATCATTTGGAAGTATCTCTTAATTAACTTTGTGTTCGAACACATAAAATGTTATCGAATATCACACATAGTATACAATTATTTTCAATTTTAGAAGAATATAAAAAAAATACAGAAACCAAAATTAAAATACACTTTGCTTGACAGTGGTTATTCTGCTTGAAACCAATGATTAAATAATTGAAACAAAATCTTTTAACTTTTTGTAAATAAGAAAAACATAAATAAATATATTGTATTGATAATATAATTACCTGAAAAAATTGGTGTACTGATCCAAGTTGAAATTCAAAGTCAAATGATGTGTAGAGTTGGAAAGTGGAAACCAATTGTTCTTGCGTATCGATGTGACCAACCCATCTCAATTAAGCTGGTAAGGTTGCCACAATTTCTAGTTCTACAACTTAAAACCTTCAATAAAAGAGCATCCGAAATCGGAAGCCCTATGCAGTGATCCTATTTATGACATTTACGTGCATCACAACACTCATATCCCAGGTAATAACCTCTCCATAGCATATAACACACACCCTTCAGAAACCAAGACAATTCAAAGGTTCATTTCAATGGCAACCTCGTCAAGTTTTGTTCCTACGGCACTTCTAGGTTTATTTTTAGCAGCACTTGGTGTTATTGTCCCTAGAAGTGAAGCCAGGCCAAGAGCATTCTTTGTATTCGGAGACTCTCTTGTTGACAATGGAAACAACAACTATTTGCAAACCGTTGCTCGTGCTAATGCCCCTCCTTATGGAATTGACTACCCTACTCACACAGCAACTGGACGCTTCTCTAATGGATTCAACATTCCTGATTTTATCAGTTAAGTTTCCAAAACCCAGTTTTTTCTTTTCACCTTTTCTCTTCTAATTAACTCTTCTATTATATCTGCATTAGTTTCAGCATCTTCAACGTTATAATTATGAGGTGTGTTGTTGTTTCAGGTCAGGAACTTGGTGCTGAGTCTACCATGCCATACTTGAGCCCAGACTTAACAAGAGAGAATCTCTTAGTTGGTGCCAATTTTGCTTCAGCTGGAGTTGGAATCCTTAACGATACAGGAGATCAGTTTGTAAGTACTTGATTAATTAATGACCACAAATTTTGCCTCCTTTCATTGATATACACTACAAAGAATGTTAACATGCAACACGCTTTTTAATATTTATTTATCCTCTTTCTGTCCAAATTTATATTATTGGTACACTTGAAATTTACCTGATACAAACGTGTTGAAAAAAGAATCTTGGAGAGTCAAAGTTGTAGAGTACATATCTTCAAATACGGTCATTTGTATTAATTGATTTCGTCCTTAAAAGTTTTTGTATATAAAATTTACTTTTCAAATTCTCACCTTCATAATAACTAGTATCGGAATTTGTCAATTTTAATTGTATCAAATTTAGTTCCCAAATTTGGTTAACTTCATCAAGGAGGGAGTGGGACTAATTTGCCATAAATTTGATCAGGTGCGTGTTAATTAAATTGTATACAAGTACATTTTTAGAGAACAAAGCATGTCCCACTTTTGAAAACGAAATGATATGTCTACTCTTTTGCATGCACCAACTTATGCTATGTCCACTCATAAATTAAGAGATATTATCATAAAAATAAATTAGTTTCATTTTTTCTAATATAAAGTTTTTTCAAATAATAATAAGAATTGGACTTTTAACAAACTCGTTTATCTGCTAACTACATCAAATTTCAAAAATAAATTTGTAATTAGATAGACAATTAATATATAGCTATAATATTTGATGGCAAAAGTAGTACATGCCAGGATTGTAATTATCTAAACTCTTCTCGACTAGTACAATTCTAAGTGAGTAAATTATCTTAGCACCTGTTTGATATCCCCTTATTATTTCACTTTATAAAAAAATTTTAATTATTTTTTACGTTATTATGAAAAAAGAAATCTATAATTACATGTATACCTTTTCTGTTCTTAAAAAAATTACTATCAATTTCTCTATTAGGAGGTGCGAGTATTATTTATAGACTTGATTTTTTTTTAATCATAAAGTTACAGAATTGGTGATTCATTGAAAAGTCAAATTGATATACTAAATTGTACTAAGCACATATTTTTTTAAAAATTAATTAAAAATTAAATTAAATATTTTATTATAGATGTGAAATACTTAAAATATTTTAAAAAATTAATAAAAATTATTTAAAAATAAACTTAAATATTTTATTATAAATTTTATCTATAAATTATTTATATAAATAATTTTCTTTTAATTTTAAATAATTTTTTTACTTTTAAATAATTTGATAATTTAGATATGAGATTTATAATAAAATATTTATTTTTATTTTTAACTAATTTTTGTTAATAACTTTTTTTTGGAGGTTGTTTATATAAACCATTTTCTTTCAATATTAAATAATTTTTTCATTATATAAGATCCCTAATAAATATTAATTTTTATTCTTAATCCATTAATATTAACTTCCGAAAAACATGGAAGCATAAACCATGGAATACGGTCTGATCTACGAACAGGGTCGTGGATTCCAGATCATACTGGTCTCAACTTTGATTAATGTAATAGCAATGTTTCTTTGATAGAGAGACAAATAATTTCGCATAAAAAATAAGTGAAATTATATATTTATTAATAATTTAATAACATTTGCTATTATAATAATAAAAGAAAAGAAGTACTTATAGTTATCGTATAGAAACTGAAACAGTACTTAATAATAAAAAAAGAGTCATATTATTCTTATCATGACACTTTTCTACAACTTGAGCTCTCTCCATATTTCTCTCTTTTCCCTCATGAAAAAAAAGTACAAATTGAGTTTCTGATTTCCAAATCAGCGTGGAAAGATTGCAGTTGGCGATGCTTATGAATGCAAGTTTTGCAGATGAACATAATTAAAATGCATAAACAGTTAGAGCATTTTAAGGAGTACCAACAACGAATGAGTGCTCTAATTGGTGTCTCACGAACCAAAAGGCTGGTGAATCAAGCGTTAATTCTCATCACTGTTGGTGGGAATGACTTTGTAAACAATTACTTCCTCCTGGATTCTACTGCAAGGTCCCGTCAATATCCACTCCCAGACTATGTCAACTTTCTCATCTCTCGCTACAGAAAGCACTTACAGGTATACAAAATAAAGGTTCTATTTCCATAAATCTTTTCATAAATAAACTTAACTTTAAATACAAGTTTTTACATTTAATTAATGCAGAAGCTGTATGATCTGGGAGCTCGACGAGTTATTGTGACAGGAACAGGACCACTGGGTTGTGCTCCTGCAGAATTGGCTAGGCGTGGCAAAAATGGAGAATGTTCTCCTGAGTTACAACGTGCTGCAGCATTGTACAACCCTAAATTGGAGCAAATGATACTTGAACTCAACAACAAAATTGGCACTGACATTTTCATTGCTGCAAATACAGCACAGATGCACGATGACTTCATCTCAAATCCCAAAGCTTATGGTAATATATATATATATATACCCACCTTTTATTTTATGTGACTAGCTTGTTCCTCACAATTGCAGTCACAAAGCAGTATAGTGTACAACCACTTCACAGGGAGTGAGAAGAGAAACGAGGAAGAAGGAAGGTTTTTAATAGGTTTAGAAAATGTGTAAAATAATTAACACTAATACGATACTTGTATATACTTTTTTTCTCTCCTCAATGTTGTTATCAGAAAAAATAAATGAAAGAATCTAACATTTTATGTTGTGAAATTGGACAGGATTTAATACATCAAAAGTAGCTTGTTGTGGACAAGGACCCTACAATGGTATGGGGCTATGCTTGCCACTCTCCAACCTATGCCCCAACCGAGAATTGCATGCATTTTGGGACCCATTCCATCCAACTGAAAAGGCAAACAAACTTGTTGTTCAACAAATTATGTCAGGTTCTACCAAGTATATGAAGCCAATGAATCTCAGCACCGTTCTCGCCATAGATGCTCGGTCACATTCATGAAGATTAACAAACCTATGAACAGAGTTTTATCACTAACTTGGTCCTCGATGCTTCTTCTGCATCTTACCTCTTACTGTCATTGGGTTTGTTCCTTTTAAGGAATCAAATGTGTAATTTACATGTTCTGTGAGCTTGAAATTTCAAGTTATTATTTAATTATTTTTACTTTCAAAGGTAGAAACTTAATTAACAATTACAGTGCAGGTTGAAAAATTGGAAATGATAATTTACACTGGGACAGTCAATATTGTAATTAATAGAAAAAAATATTATAGCTTCATAAGCATGTTTAATTAATTAAAATTATAAGCTAACTTGAAAATTCAAGCACCAGAAAATATACATTATTCTTCAACATAATACAGAAAGAGGTTTGACAGTTGTTAGGTGATAATTATTGTGGTCCAAACAAACTGTTAGTATTACCGGTGGGAAAAACGATTTGTGGAGAAGTGGATAAGCAAGAAAAGATTGTATTAAAAAAAATATTAATTCATCTTGAAAGTATTTTAAAATAAGAAAGGAGTAATATTGTCTATTTATAAATTTGATGTACCGCTTATTAATTATTCGACAACATTCTAGATAATTAAAAATATTTTAAATAATTCTAGATTTTGTTACAGTACAAATAGAGTTGAAGCCCAGCTAAAACAAATTAGAAAAATTAGATTTCAAAAGTGTTGTCACACTACACAGTTAGTAGATTCCGACACTCAGGTGTGGCACTTCTGTTTTTAGCTTCGCTAGACTAGCCGCGCCTTGCATCTACCACCACACCAATTTTCTCAACCTCTCTTTATACTTCAGAGGTTGCAATAATTCTTTTACCCAATCCAACCTCCAAATCACTCATAGTCCTTCATCTTCAAGATCCAAGGCTGAACCTTTCTCGTTACAAACTTTCGTAGAATCTTGAAACATACAAAAATAATAATAATAAAAAATCCCCAAGTAATGAAACTAAAATATACTAGGAGTCAAACTAATCCTAATTATTTATATAAATATATATATATAATATATATATATATATATATATATATATATTAAAAAACAAACAAACAAATGTAATTTTATCGGTGACGGATATTCTCAGGTGTTGAGGGGGCTCCGAAACCTTGTAACTCTCATATAATTATTTCTCTCAAATTTAATGATCATTTAATATATTTAAGTATATATATATAATTTTATCCATTTTTTATATATTTTTATTTATTTATATTTATTTATTATTTATTAATAATATATTACTTAATCCTAAAATTAACGGTGAAAATCCGGATATCACAATGTTGTTCACTATCATTAACAACTATAGAGCGTGACTGCCTCCTCAATCGATGTCTGATACCACGTGGTATAATATATTTAGACTCAATTTAATTTTATAAAGTTAACTTATAAGGCGATATTTTCATTGACTTGTACATCATAATTTGATGATGTCACTAAAACCTTTAACATATTCGTTCATATTACACATTTTGAATGTGAATAAGATATTTATGTGAAATTACATATTTATGGATAATCTTACCACAAATTTAAAATGAAAAAAAATTATATTTGTTTATATATTATAATTTTATCGTATATTTCTATATTAAAAGATGTATATGTTTTATTTTTTATTGTAAAATATGTTTGATAATTAAAAAGTTGAAAATGGAAAAGAATGATGTTTTAAAAAACTAAAGAACGTCAATATAAGTTGTTTCTAATATTTAAAAATGTTCACATCTTTATTAAACAATTTACATTTAATTTTATTTTAATAAAAAAATTATAAAAAATTTCAAATAATTCATTCTCTTCATTTATTATTATAATTTACTTTTCATTTTTAAATAGGTTATAATAATATTTAACTTGATATTTTTCTATTGAAAAATTGTTCAAGAAAACAATATTTGATTCAAACATTTTAATAATTAACTGCTATAAGAGATACTCATAGTTACACCATCAAATTGTTTAATGATATGTAAAAAAAATTGTTGGACACCCATGATAATTACAACGTATTTTATCATCCATATGGTGTATTCTTAAAATCCCCGCATAGAAAATTGTGTATTTATTTGAGTTTTTCTTTCTAGTTTATGGAAACATTTTCTTTAACAAACATCTTTGAAATATAGAAAAAAAATCACATATAATGCATTTACATAAACAAAGGGGAAAACATTTGTTTTACAACTTAAAGAAAACTTTATCCTCAATAACTTTAACAACATACTTGATTCCTAACTATATTTCTTTACGTTACAAAATTACTTTTAAGTGAAAATATTTAAAATTATAATTAATTTAAACCAAAATAAAAATCGGTGAAAATCAAGTTTATGTTACTCTAACATATAGATTATAAAACTATCACTCTTGTATACATCATTTAGCTTGGATGCTAGTTGTGTATTACTTTTGACTATTAAGATTGTTGGTTTGATAAATAATGTAACAATTAATCCAATTCATGTTTAAAATAAATGAAAAGGCCTACTTTGTTGATTTTGTGTAGTTGAGAATTAAAAGGGGCATGACTGAATCATACAATCTTCCAAATTTCGTAATTGAATAGGGTATTGTTGAATCATTCAAATAGGTCAACTTGTCAGTAGTGTGGAAAAATATACGCTGGTTTTTTCTTTTGGGTGTAGAACTAAGTATTAGTGATTCCAATTTCTAGGAGTAGTTAGGTTTCTCATTGTTGTAACTTGATGCAATGAAGTTGAAGAAGACCATGTACACTTTATGAGCTTTTAATATGTGCTTTATGGTTTTAAATTGTTCTATCTTCACCATTTGTTCTTTATATGTGGAGAGGTTTTCGGATAGTGTTTTTATTGGAAAATATTTTTATTAATGTTACTTCAAGCTTGAACTAGAATGAAAAAAAAAAAATTTGGGACAGTTTTTTTTTTTTGTTAATTTAGTGATTATTCATCACAATAATCAAACACAATATTTGATTAATCAAACATCCTTGCTCATAATGCAAAGTGCATTGCTTAACAAACTAAGCAATTAAATTTTAATAATTGAATGGTTCAAGAGATTAGGTTTTAATAACATTAATGGATGGATGTTGGTTTATCTATAAGAATAACCTATTTTATATGGAGAAAGAAAAATAAAAGTATAATAATTTAAAAAAAATAGTTATTATGATTTATATATTTAAAAAATATATGATATATAATTAATAAAAAATATATTAAAAATTTAATTATACAGATAATACGAAGACATAAATAATTTTAGTACCTGTATTTTCATTAGTAGGTACATGAAGTCCAATTCGACAATTTTCATTCATACTGAATAATATTTTTTATTGTCATCATTAAAGTGTTCCTAAAGATACCAAAATATTAAATCACCTTATATTTTAAAATTTCACATTTTTCTTCAATTGAGTCAATTGTACTATCCCTATTTTATTTTCGAACAGCTGTGTTACTGAATTTTGTAATGTTTACACAGATGTTCTGGAAAATGATTTAAAAACTCAGTATTTGTTAGTTATGCAACTGGGAAAAGATTTTTTGAAAACTAATAATCTTAGAAAATTTTAAAATGATATTTTTTTATTAAGATAAATAAATAATAATAGTTTAATAGATTTTTGAATAAATGTTTTTTCTTTTGCGGAACAAAATCTATGCAACTTGGTATATTTGCCACCACTTGTTGACCTTGGACCCAGCAAGCATGTGTACACAATAAGTGTAAGAGAGGCGACGAATCAAACCTTGTTAATGAGATAATATACTTAATTAGCATGACAACTTTTAATTAGAATAATCAAAGATAGGAAAATATAATTAGATTTGTAAAATACATACAAATCTCACCTTACAAAATTGTTAAGATTGAAATGAAGAACTATCCGTCTATAAAAAGTTGAGTGGCGTTGCCAAAGCTTTTTCTTCCGCAGACGTCATACATATACGACTTCGCTGACCTAATATTCTCCTTTCACCTCATTATTATTCTTCCTTCCTATACTTTTTCTACGATTCTAAGTCACTCCCAGAATTTTCTCACAAATCAATCACTTACCCATCATGTGAAGACAAAAGGTTAACATCGTGTCTTTCAATTTTTCAATTCTCATTGACCCAGTGACGAGGTCTCTGAAACGAAATGAATACTTTAAGAGGTGGCTTTCAATTGAACCCTTCAAGCAGACTTGTCAAAACCATTTGTTGGTGTACCCCATTAATGGCAACTTTATGAGCAATTTGTGTGGGTTCGCAACTATGTGTTGGCAGTATCTATATATTGATGATTTTTTGGCAATGGGGTTTATGAACTGAGAAGGGAAAGGAAGAGAGAACATAGAAGTGGTTGAGGAAGTCTTGTCGCAGGAGAGATGACATTGGTAGCCTTGCCATGCATGATGTGCAAAAGCATGCAATTAACCGATGTCATTCTCATGTGACACGATTCCCTCTCATCACTTTCTCGTCATAATCTCTTCATAATGCACTTTGTGTTTCTTAAGAGAATAAGAGAGATTACACATGTAGGAGATATTGTTGTTGTGATGGATCATCATAGTGGATCTCTAAGGTAAGTTAGTTACTGTTTTTTGCTTTTCTTTACTTTCATTAAAGTTAGACATTATTAATGTACTTGAGAGAAAAATAATTGAATAGTAGGCTACTTTATGAACTGTTGCTTTGCTTCTGTTTATTTTTTTTTTTATATTATGTTTATCAAAAAGAGTACATTTGGCTTTTTATACAGGTTAGCCAGTCAGTCCTCAGAACTCCTCTAATGGTGGTTCAAAATTGAGTTTGTTTATGAATAGATTATCAGTGTAATATCTTTTTAATAAAATAATTTATTGTTAATGGAAAAAATGGTGATTTAAAAGTTCTAAATTTTTAAACTGACGGCTATTTGACTGCCACACATTCCTCTGATTCAGTTATTACGTTTGAGATTTTTTTGGGTTGGATATGGAGATGAAATTATTGAACTAATAGAGTAAAGATCTATTTGGATAAATTTTCACATAAATTTAATAAATAAATTTAAAATTAGTTTGTACATAAATTAGTAAATGGAAAAATTTAAAAATTATATAAGAGAATTATATAAATTTAAAATAATGTTTATGACTTTATAGTTATATTTTTATTACAATACAATTACCCTTTTCAGATGATCAACATCCACCTTGTTTACAATTAAACTAGACTTGTAAAGCTCAACCATCAGGCATCAACTTAGTCATTCTCAGTTGTATGCGACACCTAGAACTTTCAGAATACATGTTTCATTGTTTGAGCCAAGTAAAAAGAAGAAGAAATAAGCATATATTTCGCATTCACAATATTCTTAAGTCAGATTTCAGCTCTCACTTCCTACACACCTACGCTACCTCACACCAAAGTGAGATAACATGCACCAAACATTATTTAGTGGTTCCATGGTCAGTTGTTTCACTTATGCCTTAAAATTGCAGAATGTGATCCAGCTCTGCTGTCAATTGTTGTCAACATAAAAATCGTGTTTGTGCTTTCCACTCGCAATATTTACATTTCCTATTGAAAAGGCATGAATTCAACGATCAGGATAACTAAATATATATATATATATATATATATATATATATATATATATATATATATATATATATATATATATATATATATATATATAGAGAGAGAGAGAGAGAGAGAGAGAGAGAGAGAGAGAAAACAGAAGAAAGCGACATAATCTCAAGAAACCACTGCTGTTGGCAGTGGGTTCTTCTGGTCATACACACTGTTTTGGTTGAAAATTTTCATCCGACAACATTGAATTGATCAAAGTTTTAAGCCTTTTAGAACCTGGGCCAGGCCTCAGGACAGTAGTGTTACCAACTACAGAACAAGGATCACTCCCATTCTCCCTGCTTCCTATGCACCAGCCACCAGGAACAACCATCCCAGGACCTCTAGATAATAGCTCCGCATCGATTTTGTCCAATACTGGATCATCGCCGTGGAACTTCCTTGCGAAGGGGACGTTGCTGTCAACCATCCTGTTCATGTCATCGAGAGAAAGGTAGTGGGGATGTTGCCTGGGAGGATTGTCCCAAGAAATGAAGTGAAGATCACTATTAACAGTTGTGTTCTTGAACTCTTGAGCATTACAAATGACAGTGTGGAAGTACCCTTCAGGGGAAGACACGAAATTTGTGTAGTACATGAGAACAGTACGAGGTAGGTTGTCCCATCCCCAAATACAGTAATCAATGAAAGATCTTGATAGTACCATCCAAGCCGAACCTAACATGAGAGAAAATATTCACGCATTCATATATGAGTAGGTTCTGAGCACATAACCTGGATTTAATATAATTTCAAACTTTTTTTAGGAAATCTCACTTCTCAACTTATCTATTAAGAGAACAGATAAAGTAAATTTTCCTACCAATTCATACATTATCCTATGTCCTCTTATCCAACAAGGTAAGTCCATCCAATGACCAAGTAAGCACCTAAAAACTACAGCATTTAAAGCTTTCTTCTCTACACATACTAAAAGAAACACAAAAATAAATTCTGAAGCACTAATAACTTGATTAATCACAGCAAGTCCAACCCATAAGCTTTCTTCTGATGAAGAAAACCCTAACTCCCGAGAAAGTTAGAACCTATGTCTTATCAAATTGGAACAGCAACCCACGAGCTAGAACATATAATTGGAATCATTCACAAGTTCATTGCAAATATTGCCCTTGTAGGAAATTGTAAACAAGTGCAGCCACAGTTAATGAATCTAAAAAACTAGACGTCATGGCCAGTTGCAGACCGTTTAATAAATCCTTGGCAACCCATATATAAATCCACATAACAAAAATAGACATAAGAAATGAATGAGCACCTGTGAAAAGTTTGAAGGCCGTTGGTCTACTTCTCCTCTGCGTTATCCAAAACACATCTTGCTTCTTAGTCATATACAACCCCGGATCAATAATTATAGGCCTTGCCCGTTGATGACTACAGATAAGCATAATACGGCTTTAAAAAAACACTCATTCAAATAGTTCATATGAAAAACAATTTATTATTAGAAATAGACTTAACTGTATTTTCAGTTCCTAAAACATGTGATTGTGATAATTTTGTCTCCTAAATTCCAATTACAACGTGTTGGCTTTTATGCTTTCTCTCATATACATTCAGGTTCTTCTATCTCATTCCATCCAATTGAATCTAACATCTATTCACAATCAGCACGTAAAAAATAATAGTTTGTAATTAAGTGAAAAGTGTTTAAACCATCTCACTTCAGAACATTTACTCCTGTAAATAAAAGAAAACTCAAAGGACCTCATTGATGCAATAAGAACTTAAAAGATCAAAATGTGCATTCACACTACAACTAACATACTAAATATGCAATGAAGTATTCGAAAAGATGTTTGATAATCATTTGGCTTCTACAATTAAAGAAAAAAACTCTTAACCCCTATTATCCTTAAAAACATCCCTTTTAATCCCTACTAATAAATCAGGAGTTGTTGTTATTTTTTCCTTATTAACATAGTAAGTTCCTATACTTGCCATGTCCATGGATTATTCACAAGGATTATCATAGTTGTAATTTCTGTTAGTTTACCTTCGGCTTATTCAGGTGAATGCATATAACAGAATGTGTAAGGATTAAATATTGTACATAATAGTGTGTCTAAGGACTAAAAGAATTAAAAATTGTATGTGTGAACTAAAAAGGGATTTTTTTTTTTTTTTTTATGAAATTAAAAACGGGAGAATACAGTAAGTTGAGTACACTTACTCTTTCCACCCAATGTCACTTGTATGATCAATGAAATTAAGATCGCGTGGCAAATGCGACAAGGCGTGCAGCAGATCTACCCAATCAAAGGAAAAAACCATTCCGTCAGCAAAAAAAAAGCTTACCAAAATAGAAAGAGTTTGAAGTGACGAACCGTCTTGGGTAACGAGGGGGTAATCGGAGGCGCTGAGGTTGATGAACCAGTCCCAGTAATGGGAATCGGAGAGGGCGATGGCGGCAGCGTGGAGGGTGTTGGCGACCATGGTGGGGCCGCGATAGGTGACGAGGTTGGCTTTGGAGATGAGGCGGACGTTGCGGAAGCGTCGGAAGGTGGGGTGGCGGTCGAGGTGAGTGGCGAGGAGATGCCGTTCCTCGGGGGAGGATTGGCGGTCGAGGTGGAGGATGTAGCGATTGCGTGGGTGGTATAGGGCAGCGAGGGCGCGGAGGAGGGCGGGGGCGTCGCCGGCGGAGGCGGAGATGAGGTAGGCGAGGACGGGGGGGAGAGAGGTGGGAGGAGGGAGAGGGAGAGGGCGGAGCTTGGACTCGACGAAGTGGGAGGGGGGAGAGGTGGCGGCGGAGAGTGGGAAGGGGAAGATGAGGGTGGCGTCGGGGTAGGTTAGTGTGAGGGCGAAGAGGAGGAGGAAGGTGAGAGAGACGAAGGAGGCGATGGTGATTACAGGGACAATGCACTTTCGTTGGTGTTGTTGATGGTGGTAATAATGTTTTAATTTCTTCATTGTTTGGGTTTGGGAATTGTGATGCGTGTTACTGGTCACTGAACTGAGTCTGTGTTTTCTGATTCCTGCCTGATTCGAAGAAGAAGGAATGGGAAAGGGAAGGAAAAAATGTGTCAGTGATGAGAGAGGGTGAGCTACCACCAACTTGAATTGATGATGATTACAGATATATACATATCTACGGTGAAATGTATATCTTATCGTTGAACTAGAAAAGAAAAAAAAAAAAAAAAAGTGTACGCAATAATAAAGTAAGTATATCACTTTTAAGTTAAAAAAAAGTATAATTTTTTTAATGTTTATTTAACATAAAACTTAAAACAAAAACACCATTAATTAAATACAACATACAAAAAAATGCATGAATGAATTGTACTAATATATTAAAATAAAATATTACACTCTTATAATTAACAAAACTTAAAATTAAAAATCTATAATGTGTACATTAAAAACTTACTGTCTATATATATCATCTCCTAGTAATTTTTTGGAAGTGCAATAATTAAGACGGGGATATTTTTAATGACAAAAATATTATTTTGGTTTAAATTTAATTATTTCTAGAATTTAATTTTAAAAAATAAAATTTACATATATAATAAATGAATTCATGAACTCAGATATTCAATTTTGAAAACCATTAAAATCTTTATCCTTTTCAAAATACCCAATTGTTAAAAAAAAAATTAATGTATAGAAAATTTATTCAAATACTCTATATATTAAATGTCTTATTAGTAGTGGATGGTATAATTTATTAAATACATTGAAATATAAATAAAATAAAATAAATGGTGTAAACTTTTTTAGCTTGGAAAAACAATTTACGTCAATACTTTTTTATTTTTTTAATTACATCATTATTAATGTGAAGTATTTATATTTTTGTACAATATATGAAGGAAGACTTGCTGGTTGAAAAGTTGTTGAGTTACAACTATCTTTCACGTTCATAATTAAAAAAAAAATCTAAGAAATAATATTATTAAAAAAAAGAAAAAAAAAGTGGAAAAATAAGTTATGAAATAAAATAGAAAATAAAGCATGGATAATTTATCTTTCTTTACAGATTGTATTGTGCACTGTTTTGCTAAATGAGGTGTTCATGTGTCTGGCCATGCCTGGATAGAAATAGGGGATATTCTGATTTTTGTATATTCTATATTTGGAAACATTTTATAAAAAAACACTTCTCTTGTCATTTCTCTAATAAAATGATGAAATATAAAATTAATTAATTTTTCTTTTTACATAATTATTTTTTATTTATTTCACTTTAATTCAGAACAAAATTATCTAATAATTATATTATTTATTCCAAATGAATCAAATTATTGTCCTTTTCTCTAGTTTATTTTTTATTTTTCTGATTGTCCAAACACCGATGATGATAAAAATTAGTTAACGGAATTTTCTAATGGTTTTCCTTTTACATGCAGAAAATATCACCATGTACAATTAAAGCACACACTCCAAGGATTTTTTGACTATTCGGGTGTTTTCAAAAAGTATCCTTTAACCTGTCACATAAATCACTTAATTTGTAAAGGAGTTGAGTGTTTATCTGGTTTTTTCATAGTATCATACTTTACAAGTCAAAAAAAGAAAACGGGTTTTTACTTTTAAAAAAATGTATATCTTATATATTTTCTATATTATACCACATTTTCAATGTTTACGATTTATTTAATGTTAGAAATCAATATGATTAAAATTGACTTCTAATATCAAACTTTCCTAAAATATTAAAAATAATTAGAAAAATAGTTTTGTAAATTCAATGATAGTTTTCCCTCTTCACCTACACAAAGTGAAACTATTTGTTTCTTCAAAATGTTCAATAAAATATAATAATAGTAAGTGTGTGTTAGGTAGAGTATCTTATTAGATTCTCCTAGATACTGAGTATGTACAAATTTTAATTAATAATTACAGGAAAAACAAAGTTATATTATACTCAACTTTCTAAGGTTATATATATATATATATATATATATATATATATATATATATATATATATATATATATATTATAAATTTATATTATTATTATTAAATTGCAACTGAGATTGAATTAAAAAAAATGTTATATAGAACAAATCGCATGTGCGGAACAGTGTGGATCCGATGTTGCATTTCCGGTTTGTCGTTATTTTGCTTCTAAAAAAACAATTGTCATATAAAATTAGGGTTTATGTTAAGAAAACTATTTATGAATACCTAATTATTTACCAATTTTTTTTAAAATATATATACATAGAAAATTTGGGGCCACTAAAGTATAACTGAAAAATGAAAAATGTCCACTAAGTATACAAATATGTAGAAAATGTTTAATTAACAATGACAACTTCACGTAATAATGTATTTTATAATACTATATATTTTGAATGGTTAAGAGGGTGTATATGACGTTAACTAATAATTAATTTATGAATTTGTAAAATTGAAAGCGATCCAAATTAGGTGATAATTTTTAAAGCCGCGCGGTATGTCAAGTTAGTGAGATAATCGAAATCATGAAAACTGTTTTCTGACAACCACTGGTTTAGTTTTGCGGTCTAATTTTCCGCATACAATTCCATTCATAATTAACATGCAAAACAAACATCCTAAAACTCCCTCCTTTTACTCTCCATCATGTATCTCAAACTTGTTCTATTTCTAACCTATTAGTACCCAAACGCCACAATACACACAAAAATTAAACTTTTGATTTCCCTCTTTATTTCGTTTCTGGGGTGGCATTTGGAATGGAGTTCTTCGAAAAGGCAGAAGTGGTACGTCTAAGGAGTCACCATGACAAATATTTGTTAGCAGACGATGACAAAGTGGGTGTCTACCAAGATCGAAATGGGACATACAAAAATGCGAAATGGACGGTGGAGATCGTGGCGGGTGCCGACTTGATAAGACTGAAGAGTTGCTATGACAAATACTTAACAGCCTCCAACATGCCGTTTTTGTTGGGTGCCACAGGGAAGAAAGTGTTGCAGACCCTTCCCGCAAGGTTAAACTCCTCTTTGGGGTGGGAACCCATCAGAGAAGGTGTGCAAGTGAGGCTTAGAACACGTTATGGACAGTTTCTACGTGCCAATGGAGGCTTACCACCCTGGAGAAACTCCATCACCCACGACGTCCCTCAGCGGACATCAACGTCAAATTGGGTTCTCTGGGATGTCGATCTCGTACAGCTTCGATTAACCCCTCCAGCACCAATCATCACACCCAATCCTCTAGATGCTGCCATGTTTGAATCTCCTTCTCATTCTCCTCCTTATGCAGATGATGCCTCCTTAAGTTTCCATCTCAGGTCTCCTGATCTATCAACTCAGGTTAGATATAATCATCTCATTCATTCATATATATAATTTCAATCACTCATCTTACATTGGGTTCGTATTTTATATATGCAGAATGAGAATTTGGTGGAGAGTGTGTCACCAGTCAAAGATGGAAGGATTATATTTTATAACGTGGGTGATGAACACGGGGATATTTCTAAAGAAACTGACGAAAAATTCTTTAAATTCCAAGGAAGTAGTGTCTATGATTTGAAGGAGAAGTTAAAGGAAAAGACTGGGTATGATGACATTGTTGTGTGTTGCCGCAATCCTCTTGATGCCAAACTTTATCCCCTTCGTTTACAATTACCTCCTAATAACACTGACATGCACGTTGTTGTCACTATTCCTTCCCATATATGATGGTGAGAATTTTTCTACCACTTTATTTTATGCATTCCCATTTTTGCAAAATTTGGAGTTCAATGATAATGCAGTGTTCCTGTTTCTATTATTAACCAGTCAAAATTATTAATAATAAGTCTTTTATGATAATTATTGTAAAGTTAATAAACTTGGATGATAGTATCAAACTGTTTTATATTGTTTATAGACTATTTTTTAACCTATTAATAATATTATCAAACTGTTTTTACCAACTTTCGGCTTTCAGCATGAACAATTATGAAGAATATGTTGACAATCCAAGTGCATCAACTGGCGGAAATTAATACATCATGGAAAGAAGGGGTTCGACTCAAAATCCATGTTTTCGCACCCAGAGAAGAAAAAAGGAATAGTGAAGAAGACGAGAAAGAAAAAATGGCGAGGACGTTTGTGAAAGACAACAAGAAATGTTAGTTTCCAAACTCAGTATTTCTTAGTTATGTCTATCATCTAAAGAAAGTGTAAATATTTTTCTTTTAATGTACAAAAGATAATTTCAACTGTTATTTCGTTTATATCTAGTGAATTTTTACATGTTATTTATCATTAATTTATTTAAAACCAATCGTGCTCTTAGATTATCAAAATTTAATAATAAATATATCTTTATTCATTCACTTTGTTTTAAAAATAACTTCTTTATATTTAACAATTTCCACGATTTATTGAAGTAATTAAAAATCTTCACAAATAAACGTGTACAGTTGCCACTAAATGTGTACTTTGCTTAAACAAGCACAAATCTTCTGGGAAACAATATTTGGAATTTCTAGAATTACTAATTGAATGATTTGATACACTTACCAAAGAGTTAATAAACTAATCAGGTCTCATGTTCAACATTAAATAAATAGCATACAATCTCTAATTATTATTTTTTATGATGGTTCCTTAATTGTAGTTAGGTATAACAAAAATAAAAGATCCATCAAATAAACGGGAGAAATTAAGTATCTAGTATCAATAAACTTCTTAAGATACATAAAATGTGCCCACTAATATATTGATCAATATCATTGTCTTCTTCATCATAAGAAAGCTGTTGAAAGTTTACATTCAATCAAACAAGTTTAATTGATTTTTCTTATTTCTTTTGATGGAGTATAACCTAATAAAGTTTTATAAAAAGAGGTCAAATCACCACTATTAACATCATTAACACACTCTCAATCAATTGAAAAACTAAGTTATAGAATAACATTTTTCAATATTACAATTGTTTCACCAATTGAAAGATGAAAGGTGTATGTTTCTTATCTCCATCTCTATATTAATATCATTATAAAGTGGTAGTTGAAATCAATATTTAAAATTTTAAATAAGGATTGAAACAAATTCAGCACTTGTTCACCAAACATGTGAAAATGTTTAGTTAAGCATATTACATGATATCTTGGATGAAATACTCATTTGTTTTCCTTCCAGGTTGTTTTTGTTATGTGTTTATCTTACAAACGTAATAACAATATCTATTAGAAGATATTGATTGACCACCATTTCTAAAAAAGATTATAATAGAACAAATAATATATTATAATAAATATTACACGATAAATAATATAGAATAATTAATATGATACAGTAATAATATTATAATTAATTATAATACAGTAAATAATATGAAAATAATATTAAACCCCAAATAAAATATTATTATTATTATTATATATATATATATATATATATATATATATATTAGATCTAAATACATTTATAAAATTATTACTATAATAAATATTATAGAGTAAATAATATAATATAGTAAAACATATATTACAAAAAATATTATAATAAATATTATCCAGTAAATAATATGAGAATATTATAAAATAGTCACTAGTGGAAAAATATGATTCTATGACGACTTTTTATGACGATTGTAATCCACCCGTCATAGTATGTAGGGTGGTGACATTTTTGTAATAATATTATGAACTTTTTATGTCGATTGTTACGTAACCGACATGGTATTTGGGCAAATTCACTTTCAATGTCGTTTAAATTTAACCGACATAGAAAGTGTATATTAAATTAAAAAAATTAAATATATAAATATATTTGTATTTATATATTTTATATTTATATATTTATACGGATATACATTTATTTGTATATAAATATAATTTATTTGTAAGTTATTTGTAAAAAATCTTACTTTCTATGATCTCTATATCTATGTCGCCTAGTGAGTATGTGAAACTAAATAATATAGTAAATAATATTATTGATAAACTAAATAATGAGGGAGTGACGGAAATGTGAATTTATTAACCCACTACAAGAAAAACGCTATTAGCGACCGAAAAAATCGGTCGCTAATGGCCAAAATTCGGTCGCTATTATGTTAGCGACCGAAATTAGCGACCGAAATTAGTGACCGAAATGGTTTGTCGTAAAAGGGCAAGTCACTAATTTGTTAGCGACCGATTTACATTTCGGTCGCTAAATAGCGACCGATGAGGTGGTCGCTAAAGTGGTCGCTAAATAATTTGGTCACTTATTCATTGAAGACCAAAATAACGACCGAAATTAATATAATAAATCGGTCGTTAAATCTGTGGTAAAGTTTTAAAAAATAGCGACCGATATATTCGGTCGCTAATATATTAATATAATTATTTAAATAAAAATTAAAATCGGTCGCTAAATTGGAGACAAAGTTAACAATAATAGCGACGGATATAATCGGTCGCTAATATATTAATTGAATTATTTAACTAATAATTTAAATCGGTCGCTAAATTTGAATTGTATATTATAATAAATTTGTATCGACCAAAATTCGGTCGCTAATCTAACCAAATCTGAAAATTTTCGTTTAAAATTTTGTATATCCAATTTGACAAAATTTGTACCTGCTTAATTCATCCAAACATAACACAAATGAAAACTTAAGAACTAAAGTCAAATTATTCAAATCATAAAATTTGTACCTGCTTAATTCATCCAAACATAACACAAATGAAAACTTAAGAACTAAAGTCAAATTTTGTATATCCAATTTTACAAAATTTGTACCTACTTAATTCATCCAAACATAACACAGATGAAACTTAAGAACTTAACAACTAATCAAGATTCAAAGTCTTAATATGCTCGAACAGCTGGCGGTATCCAGATTCCCGTATCCTTACCATTCCTAACTTTGTTCATTGAGTTTTTTAAAATTCGAGAACCTTTCTTATCAAAAACAGATCTTATGGCTTGCTCTTGTTCCACATCCCATATATACTCTTTCTGCATAAATAAAATACACAACAAACATTTAATTTATAAGAATGAAATGACATTGTTTAATGTAACTATAATTCAAATTACCTTGAACTCTCCAAACCATCTATCTCGAAGCTCAAGTGAAACCTTTCTCCAAGTGGGACTTGGTTCATCAAATTTTTGTTTGATGATTCTAGAGATTATAGCAGGAGGACCATTTGCTAGTATAAACCTGTGTTGAAACATATTGTGGGATTGATATTATTAAGAAATTTCATATTAAAGAATTATAATTAGCATAAGTGAAACTGCATTATTCACTTTATGTGATGCACTACTTATGTTTTTTCTATTCTTGCAAATTAACTACAACAATCAGCATAAGTGAAACTGCATTATTCACTTTATGTGATGCACTACTTATGTTTTTCTATTCTTGCAAATTAACTACAACAATCAGCATAAGTGATATTGCATTATTCACTTTATGTGATGCACTACTTATGTTTTTCTATTCTTACAAATTAACTACAACAATCAGCATAAGTGAAACTACATTATTCACTTCATGTGATGCAGTACTTACGTTTTTCTAATACATTTTTTCCAAGGTATTTATCCACTACTTATGCAGTACGTATGATACAGACCACCAAATAATTGTATAACTAAACCCAATAATTATGAAATTTCTTTTCACTAAGATCCAACAGATAATTAAAACAAATTACAAATGGTTAACCTGAGGGCGTACAGTCTCAACAAGTTCCCAAATTGGTCTGTCAAGCACCACCAAATCCGCAGTAAGAGGGATCGAAGAACCTATCTACTTCACAAATCCACCTACAACAAACGATAAAGAAATTCTGTCAAAATTATCTCTCCTATATTATTCACAATGCAAGAGAACAACAGTATATACATTCAAACAAGCCAAACCTTGGTTGAGGGTGTCAGAGGTTGCGGAGGAGGTTAAGAACAGAGGTGTGGCGCGGTGGCTCACAGGGTGGCGTCCGGTTGACGAGGAGCTTTGGTGGAGGTTGGATTAGGGTAAAGGCTGACTTGGGGGGAGCAGTGAGGGGGTTAGGGCTCGCCGGGAGTGAGGAGGAGATACTGGTCAAGGTTAAGAGGAATGGGTGAGTGAGGCACGAAAGCTAGGGTTATTTGGGGATAAGTGGCACGAGATACGAAAGTGAAAAATGTGGTAGTATATGATAGCGGTTAAATCTTAACCGCTATTATAATATCACTTCTAATAGCGGTTAAATATTAACCGCTATTATATAGCACTTCTAATAGCGGTTAAATATTAACCGCTATTATATATTTTCAAATATGATCGATCATTTGAAAATGTAATCGATCATAATCAAAAAATGTGGATGTCGCTCGAGCGAGATCAATGTCGCTCAAGCAAAAAACAACCCTAGAATACCAATTTTATGCAGGTGGCGTCGCTCGAGCGAGACCATGTTGCTCAAGCGAAATACAACCCGAGAATGCCAATTTTGTGCAGGTGGCGTCGCTCGAGCGATGTTATTTTCGCTTGAGCGAATGTTGACCAGCTAACCGTCGATCAAAGTTAGCCGGATAATGTAACATGGGTGACCTCATGTTTGAATCGGATGTCGCTCGAGCGAGTATAGTGTCGCTCAAGCGAAATACAACCCGAGACTTCACAATTTTAAAATCTGGTTGTATATGATAGCGGTTCCACTGGAACCGCTATTAAAAGGGCACTTCTAATAGCGGTTAACCCTCAA